GGTTATATTCGTTTGTTCCCTTGCTTGCTTGCTCATCTCTACCTGGTTGAATTTTGGTTACAACTTTAACTTGTGAAAACTTGCTATGTATCAGTTTGACTTCTATTGTCTTTCTTCAAGCAGCGTTCTCAAAAAAAAAAAAAAGGGAAGAAAGAAGAAACTCTCTATACATTTCTCTGTGTAGCTTAGGTGATCTTCTTACTTCTACTTCCACATTTTGTGTGTGCGTATGTGTGAGTTTGTGTGATTTCCAGTTCTACAGCTTACTGCTTCTTTATTTTTTTATTGTGGTAGGAACACTTAACATGAGGTCTACCCATTTAACCCATTTTTCAGTGTATAATACAGTATTGTTAGTTAGTGCTTCTTAACAGATAAAACTATGGCCAGTACAAGTTTAGTTACCTTTTACCTATTACTTTAAAAAAAAATCTTTATTGAGATATAATTAACATCATGCAATTTGCCCATTTAAAGTGTACAGTTCAATGATTTCTAGTATAATCGCAGATGTCTACACTCATCACCATGGTAGATTTTAGAACATCTTTAGTGGTTCAAAAAGGCACTCATACCCTTTAGCTACCCCTGCTACCCACCCCCCCCGTCTCCCTCCCCCAGCCCTAAGCAACACTAATCTCCTATCTCTATAGATTTGCCTCTCTAGACATTTCATAAAAATGGAATCATATAAGAGGTAGTCTTTTGTGACTGGCTTCTTTTACTTAGCATGGTTTCAAGGTTCATCCATGTTGAGGCATGTATTCATGCTTCATACCTTTTTACGGCTGAATAATATTCATGCATTGACATAATACATTTTGTGCATTTATTCAGTGATGGACATTTGAATTATTTCCACCTTTTGGTTATTATGAATAATGCTTCTATAAACATCCATATACAAGATTTCATATGGACATATTTTTTCATCTTTCTTGGGTAAATAAAGGGAGTAGAATTGCTGGGTTATATGGTAACTCCATTTAATCATATGAGGAACTACCAAACTGCTTCCCAAAGTGACTGTATCGTTTTATATTCCCACCAGTAGTGTGTTAGGGTTCTAATTTCTTCACATCCTCACCAATTATTGCTGTGATCTGTCTTTCTTATTTTAGCCATCTTAGTGGGTATGAAGAGGTATCTCATTGTGGTTTTGATTTGTGTTTCCCTGATGACTAGTGATGTCGAGCATCTTTTCATTTGTTTGTTTAACACCTGTATATCTCTTTTGGAGAAATGTTTATTAAAGTATTTTATCCATTTTAAAATTTGGGTTATTTTTCTTTGTTGTTGAGCTGCAAGATCTGTTTTACAAATATTTTGGATACTAGACCCTTATGGTATATATGATTTGCAAATGTTTTCTCTCACTTTGTGGATTTCTTTTCACTTTCTGGATAGTGTACTTTGTGTACAAACAATTCTCAATTTTGATGACATTTAATTATCTATTTTTCTCTTTTGTTGCCTCTGCTTAGGGTGTCATATTTAAGAATCCATTTTCAAATCAGAAGCTGTAACAATTTACTTCTATTTTTTCTTCTAGGTGTTTTATAGTTTTACTTTTTATATTTAGGTCTTTGATCCATTTTGAATTAATTTTGCATTAAGGTATGAGGTAGAAGTCCAACTTTATTCTTCTAAATGTGGATACCCAGTTGTGGTAGCAACATTTATTTAAGAGACTATATTCTTTCTCTGTAGAATGGTCTTGGCACCATTGCTGAGTTTACTTATGGACTCTCAATTTAGTTCCAATAATCCATTTGTCAATCATTAGAGCCATACCACACTCCCTTGATTACAGTAGCTTTGTAGTGTGTTTTAAAATCAGGACATGTGAGTCCTTCAACTTTATTTTTCTTTTTCAAAATGATTTGATTATTTGGGAATGCTTGCAATTTCATATGAATTTTAAAATCAGCTTTCCCATTTCTGTAAAAGTGGTCTTTGGCATTTTGATAGAGATTGCATTGAATCTGTAGATTGTTTGGGGGAGTATTGCCATCTTGATAATACCACATCTTCCCATCCATGAACTCGAAATGTCTTTCCATTTATTGATATGTTCTTTAATTTATAGCAACCATATTTTGTAGTTTTCAGTATACCAATCTTGCTCCTCGTTGGTTAAATTTATTCCTAAGTATTCTACTCTTTGCAGCATTTGGAATGGGAATTGTTTTCTTAGTTTTGATTTTATATTGTTCATTGCAAGCACATAGATACCCAAATGATTTTTGTATATTGATTTTTATATCCTGCAACCTTGCTGAATTCATTTTTTACCTAGAATAATATTTTAGTGGATTGTTTAGGATTTTCTTATATACAAGATCATGTTCTCTGTGAATAAAGAGAGTTTGACTTCTTCCTTTTTGATATGGATACTTTTATTTCTTTCTAGCCTGGCTAAGACCTCCAGTGCTATGTTGAACAGAAGCCATGAGTGAGAGCTGGCTTCCTCTTCTTGTTCCTGATCTTAAAGGAATGCATCCAGTCTTTTACCAATAAGTCTGATGTTAGCTGTGGATTTTAATATATGCTGTTTTTCAGGTTGAGGAAATTCCCTTCTATTCCTAGTTTGTTGAGTGTGTTTATCATGAGAAGGCATTGGATTCTTTTTAACCATTTTTTATCACGTTCATTTTAATTCCAGTGTCTTACATTAAAAAATAATTGGATGAATTGTATGAAGTCAGCTTTCTTATCATCTGATCTTTTGCTTGTTGTAGATACTGTATGGTTTAAAAAAATTGATTTTGATTCCAAAATAAACACTTCCTAAATTTTTCTGCTTCTTCCAGTAACTATTTAACCAGTCAAATGGATGCTTTTCCTTTATATCTTAAACACCATTGGTTCCCTTTGTAAAAGTATTTATATTGGCTCTTTCTTTCTCTCTGTACATTTGAGCAAGGAGAGGTCTGTTTTTCAGTGTACGCAGTTGTGAATGTGCTGTGGTCCATGTCTCAGGTCAGTGGACTCCTCCCTCAGTGTTGATTCGAAGGGTAATTATAGCATAAAGCCCTTATCAGAGTTCTGTGTCCAGAACTCCCTCATTTAATGTGCTTCAGTGCTTGGGGCAGTGGGGGCAGGGGATAGTCTCCTGCTTCTAATGATGGGCAGTTGGACTATAGAGAAGGGGGTTTACCTCGACGACTTTGGGAAATGTTTTCCTATGTGCCCAGAGGCAGCCTCCACAAGAGTGCACCTCTGGTGACCCGTTCTGCTGCCGCTGTCATAACCCAGGACGCAGTCCCCCTGGACCCCCACTGTACCATTCCTCAGCCTAAATGGGGTCTTAGAATGGAGGCAGCCTGAGATGTACAGATCAAGGGTAAAAGAATGGCTTGGTTTGTATCCTCCCCGACCCCCAAAAAACCCAGAAAAGATTTTTTTAAAAGGAAGGCTGGGAATGAGTTGACCGTTCCTCTCATCAGCAAAGCCTGAGGCTCTGATTTCAGACCAAAAGTATCAGTGCTTCCTGTGCACAAGGCACTTTTCCAAGTGCCTCACACATACTAGTTCTATAGTCCTGACAACCACTCTGTTATATTTTACAGATCATGACACTGAGGCACAGAAATGATAAATAACTTTCCAAAGTCACTGATTGGTGAAGTCAGCACTAAACCTCCAGTCTGACTCTCATCCCTTAACCGCTCCAGCAACATTTCCTCCTTTCCTTGTTCTTGTTCGACTTCTCTGCCCCGGGGCACATCTGAGCTCCAGTAGACGATACATTCTCCTTAGGGTCTGACTGATTCTGAATCACATTCCTAGTTTCCTTTACTGTTGGAATTTTGTATGACTTTGTGTGTTTCTGTGTGCACTTCAGTGAGGAAAGTGAATCCAGCCTCACTAGCAGCTGTCACCTTAACTCAGAAGTCCTCATGGAATTCTTTGCATACCAACTTGATCTTAATGACCGTGCTTATTTTACGGATGAGAACATCAAAGCCCAGAATGATTAGGTAACCTCTCCCAAGACAAAGAACTAGTGATGGGCCAGTAGGCCAGAACTCATCCTTACCTAGCTTCTTCCCCTCTAGGTTTGTGCTAGGTAAACTGTCCCAGAAACTGCCGGAGTAAAAATGCAGCTGTCTTCCCTAACCTGCTCCCAAAGGTCCATCCATCCTCAAAAGCCACAGGCAAAATTTAGCTTGCTATTATTCAGCCTGTTTGATTTCTTATGCTGGAAAAAGGAAAGCAGACCCTTCACTGAGATTTTTTTCGAATTAGGCTGCATGACAAAAGTTTTTTTGAGCTCTGTTATTTGACATCCTATTAATCTTTTAAAGCTGCCATTGTTTTGTTCCTGACAGACCTGTAATGTTTCAGATGTGAGACAAATGTACACATAGAGGAAGACTTCTTTAATGAGCCATATTTGCCTCACTCTGCTGAGGTTATTTAAAAAAAAAAAACAGAAAACACCAGGGTATCCACCTCATCATAAATATATCTGGTATACTTAATTGATTGAGACTTCTGGTTTAGCCTGTTATCAAAGCATGTGATGAAGTGTTGAATGTGTGGCCTTAATGATGCTCTTGGCATCTCATTCCAACAAAGAAGCTCTGCCATCGTTGGGGGAGGCAGCTTCCTGGCACGTGGGTTACAGAAGCCCAGAGGCAGTCCTGCCCTTTATTACACAACCCCCAAAGCCACTTTGCAAGCAGGAGAGGGAGCCATAGTTCCATCCCTACTCACACCGATTATGGTAAACGCCAACCATGTCGATGTCAGCCCTTTAATAAAAATCTCCTGAAATGGTTTTTTAAAGTCAGGCTCTCATGGCAGAACCAGGTAGGAGAGAAAAGAATGGAATAATTGGAGGCTGCTGTCTTTTCACTTCCCACATGAAACTATTTGAAGAGACAGGTCAGAACTTGAAACAGGAGAGAGCAAGAAAAGTTGCAATTTGAATGTCGGCTTTCATGACTTTCGGGTGTTTGCTTAAAGGATTTTCCCCTCCCTTCTCTTCCCAGACATACTTCAATGACAACATCCTTACCCTGATACGGACCCTGGTGACCGGAGGAGCCACCCCGGAGCTGGAGGCTCTGATTGCCGAGGAGAATGCTCTGCGCGGGGGGTACAGCACCCCCCAGACGCTGGCCAATAGGGACCGCTGCCGCGTGGCACAGTTAGCGCTGCTGGACGGGCCCTTTGCGGACCTGGGGGTGAGTTTGCGGGGCAGCGCCCACCTGAGCCCACTGTCTGGGAATAGCCGGATCCGGAGGACCTGGGTGTCAGGCAGTGACAAGCTAGGCCTCTGCCTTTGCTGCTTTCTGCAGGAAAATGGCTGGAAGACGTGACATTTATGCTTTGCTTGTATCAGGCACTGTGCTTTACCTGTATTCATTCATTTTAATCCGTTGACAACCCTTTGATGTAGGTTCTATTGTTAGATACTTTAAGGAAACTAGGGCTCAGAGACTGAGAACTGGCCCTATCAGGAATTTGCACTGGGGGTCCTGGTTTCGGAGCCTGTGGGTTTACTCACCTGCCTGGCATACCTTCTGCCACAAGATGGGAGGTAATGGATGATTCCAAATGCAGCTAGGGCTGGGAACCCTTTCTACAGGTCTTAGCAGAGGGAGAGTGACTGAGACCAGCAGAAGAATTAGGAGACCTGGGTCTGGAATTAGAGACATTAAAGGATCCACATGAGATACTATTTGTTTCTAGAGGTACGTAATGAGCTGTGGTGTGCTGAGAACCACTGATGCCAGGGTCATGCCCAGAATCCTGGGGGCTGCCCATGGCCATTGGTGGTTTTTAAATGCTCCTCCAGGGCTGCTGATTCTGAGGCTGGACCCACGACTCTCCCCTATGCTCTCCCTGCTGCAGAAGTGACCCGTGCCTCCCTTTGGGTTCCATGCACCAGCCTGGTTCAGGCACTCTGGCAGAAGTATTTGGTCTTGACACTTATTCCCAGCCCAGCTCCACAGATGCATTCAAGGGGTAGAGCCACCAGTCTTGGGAACCAATAAATCCATTGTACAAACAACAGTGCCACCCAGAAAGTCCCAGTATTGGAAAAGGAGCCAAGGGAAGGGTCATTTTCTCCATTTCTTCCGAAACCCTGATGCCAACTTGCACTCTCTTTTAGTTTGGTTGTGGGCATGGATCCTTGTAATCTGGGCTTTTTTAGAAGTCTATCTCTGTAGCTAGTCGTTCTTTTTATCTATCATTTACTTACTGATACATTTTAAAAGGATAAAGACTGTAAACAATGGTGAGACTTGTCTCCGTTTTTGTTCTCTAATGTGATGCCCACATGGAAATTTCAGGAACAGGAAGGACAGATGCAGTCACTTTATTCCCAGTGAAGGCAGCCTTCAGGGATCTTCCTGTAATGATGCCTACCTGAAGCCTCCTGGCTGCAGGAAGCCGGAGCTTCCAAGTGCATGAGTTTGCTTTCACATTCCGCCTCAGGCCCCAGACCCTTGGAAGGCGATTGTGAACTGATTTAGAACTGTGAATGCCAGTTATTCAGCCTGGAGACCTCCAGCTCCCAGGGAAACACATGCTCGTCCACCCTTGCATCTCTGAGGTCTGTAAATTGTGCTTTTCACACAGCCCATACCTGAAAGAGTCTGTCACCATAGTACCTGGTGGGGTCTTTTCTCCTGGCGGTGATTTTAATTATCACTCGAGCAGTTTTGACGACACGGTCAGATCGCAGTGATTACAGCTGAGCTGGGGCTGAACAGAATCACCATTTTGCAGAGCCAGTTTCTTCTCCTCAGCTGCACAGACATCTGAGACCTTCAAGCTTACACCATCACTTAAAGTGAGGGAGAGGCACCGTCTCCTTAGAGCTCTCATTGCTGCAGATGGAAAACTAGAGAGAACCAGAGGAAAACGCATCATTACTTGATCCCCCAAAATCACCAGTATCGGCGTGTAGTCAGTAAACGCCACTCACTTCTTCAGCCACAGCCCCTCGGCACAGACCCTCCAACCCAAGAGATGCCAGAATGAACTTTCATGAAAAGGCCCTTTCCCCACCCCGGGAATTCAACTTTCAGGCAAATAAAAATGATTTTTCTCTGCGTTCTTTTGTTGTCTCCCAGGATGGTGGTTGTTATGGTGATCTGTTCTGCAAAGCTCTGAAAACGTATAATATGCTTTGTTTTGGAATTTACCGGCTGAGAGATGCTCACCTCAGCACCCCCAGCCAGTGCACGAAGAGGTGAGTGTGTTTCCACTTGGCCCCCCCATCCCCAGGGCGGAGGCATACATGCCCTCTCCCGTCCCCCACAATGAGGGCAAAGGTCTACATACCTGCTCTCAGCATGCGAACTATCCTGCCCATATTAAATCCAACACGGAGTTTGGTGGTTACGGGAGGCTATTTCCTTTAATTACTAATAGCAGATGTAAAGACATCATGGGAAGAAATTCGAGTTTTATAGGATAGTTCCATCACCTAGTTACATCTGTCCTCCAAACTCCTACTACTGGGATAATTCTCTTGGTACCTAATATGTAAATATTTCATATTCTTAGTGTTTAAGATAAATGGTTCCTTTGCTGTATCTTAGACAGCTGTGTATTTTTCTCCATTTTTATTTTTAAATTATTATTATTTTTATACAATTTTAAAGGTTACTTTCCACTTATAGTTATTACAATATATTGGCTGTATTCCTTGTGTTGTACAATACATCCTTGAAACCTATCTTGCAATCCAGTGGTTTGTCCCTCCCTCCTCCACCCTCAAATTGCCCCCTCCCCGGCTGTAACCACTAGTTTGTTCTCTGTACCTGTGAGTCTGCTGCTTTTCTGTTATATTCACTCGTTTGTTGTATTTTTTAGATTCCACATATAAGTGATATCATACGGTATTTTAGACACCTATATTTTTACTTAATATATTTTTCAATTGACTCACTTCTTTTACTCTCATCTATTTATTTTAAAGAAAACTGTATGCTATTACCTTGAGCAGAAAAAAATAATGGTTCATGTGTGCTAGCTATATTTTTCTAATATGTATTCGAGTAAATTTTTCGCAGCCTAAAATTAAACATACATCCTAGAATTGCAAAAATCAGTGTGTTTCCATGATACACCACAGGAAACAATGCCATAGAGATGAGTGTTTCTCAGACCTGCTTGCATATTAGTGTTACCAGGGCTGCTTTTTAGAAGTACTCTGATTAGTTTGACTTAAATGATATGGGATAAAGATATGTGGTTTTAATGCCCAGAGATTACAGTTTGGAGCCAGAGTTGAGTGTAATTGCTGTAGATCGTGGCTTCTCAAAGGTAGGTGAACATAAGAATCTTCTGCAAAACTGGTTAAAACACACATTTCTGGATCCCACACCCAGAGTGTCTGACTCAGTAGGTCTGGGGTGGGGGGGACGGGTCTTACTTAAGGATTTGCATTTTTAAATGTTCCCAGATGATGCTGATACACCCTGCCTGAGGACCACACTTTTGAAATCCACAACAATAAATGAAACAAAGTGATTTTTAGTTACATCTGGTGTTAACCAAAGGAAACCTGATTAAATTAGGGAGAATAGCTAAAGCCTGAGGGACACACAGGCAGGAAGGTGTTTTATATTCTTCCATTTAGTGAAAACCTCCACCAAAGGTAAGAAGAGAGGAAGGACTCTGATTTTGCTAGACGGTGGTTAACGAAGATCATGTGATGGGTGTCTGGGATTGTGGGAACATACTGCAATGAGAGGCACAGTGCAGTCCGTGAAAGCTGCGTGCCCTCAGGCTACTCAGGTTCAGAAGTGAACTTGACATCGTATTGAAGGGGTGCATAGACCATAGGAAGTACCATTTGGTTCTCCCGTGACTGGCACTAATTCAGCATCTCTGCCAGGGTTCATGGCTGGCTTCCTCTGTCCAGCTAAATAAAGGAAGATCTGGTTCCACTTGGAAGATGATGTTTAAGGCCTTGGACCAGCTGGAAGTCCATCTTCCAGATCCTCTGGTACACCTGGTTTGCTTCAGAGAGGTGAAATCTTCGCCGAGTTCTCCTCATCCTGTGACCTCTTTGCTCTCCCCATCCAGGTATGTCATCACCAACCCCCCGTATGAGTTTGAGCTCGTGCCGACGGACCTGATCTTCTGCTTAATGCAGTTTGACCACAACGCCGGCCAGTCCCGGGCCAGCCTCTCCCATTCCTCCCACTCGTCCCAGTCCTCCAGCAAGAAGAGCTCCTCCGTTCACTCCATCCCATCCACTGCAAACCGACAGAACCGGCCCAAGTCCCGGGAGTCCCGAGACAAACAGAAGTACGTGCAGGAAGAGCGGCTCTGATATGTGTATCCACTGCCTCCGTGTGTGAAACTGTATCTGCCACTCATTTCCCCAGTGGGTGTTTCCAACAGTAACTTTCCCGTTTTCCCCTGTAGTCTCCCCCCCCCTTTTTTTTTACACATATTTGCATATGTATGATAGTGTGCATGTGGTTGTCATTTTTATTTCACCACCATAAAACCCTTGAGCACAACAGCAAATAAGCAGACGGACCAAAAGTTATTTATGATTCTAGGGGAAAAATAACCCAAAGGCATGCTCCAGACATAAATAGCTCACTGCAGGAACGAGTTCACAGATTAGAAGGAAGCGCTTGTGATCCACGTCGGTTATGCAAAGCTAGTTTAGTTAATGTAGAGGAAAAGTCTATTCTGATTTATCAGGATCATCAGGGTGCTTTGGGTTTTGATTTTGTTGTTGTTTTCCTTTCTTTCTTCCTTTTGTTTGTTTGTTTTTAATACACATGCAGTAATATAGACACACATTTATTTGAAACGAGCTACCCAAAAGCAATGAAAATATATTGGTTGTTTCCACTCTCTGGCCGAATATCTATCGTGAAGCATTTGACAGGCTTTTGCCATTTGTGTAGATGAAGACTAAGCACTTGCTTGTTATAAGAGAACATCAGAGATTTTCTTAGTTACTTTCCAAGGCCTTTTGTCCCAGAGCTCGCTTCCTCCGGGAGTTCCTATGAACACTTCTGTCCTTACTGTGGAGGAAAGAATAGTATTCCATTTGTGGATGTAGCCAATTCTAAGTCATTTAAGTAAAGGGAAAAGAGCTTTGATTGCATATTAAATTGTTATTCTGTCTCCTTATGCTGCCATGTGAATAACTATTTTTTTCTCTCACTTTTGACATTTGGGATGAAAAGCCATATGTATCATAAATATCAGATGTAAGTCATTAAAAACTGCCTTCCTGGGACTTTTACATCTTTTAAAAGGTGAATTACTTACCTTATGTACAGAATAAATAATGCTCAGGAAAGAGCAAGTATTTTTCCATGCATTCTCAGGGGACCTTTCTACTCCCCTTTGTTTGATTAGTTAGGGTCCCGATGCCAGGGAGGAATGAGGGCTGGGGCCGTGGTAGAGAGAGAGGAAGATCACCCAGTGGTCCAGGAGCCGACCTGCTGAATAAATCAGGATGTAGGAGGATCAAGCCACAGGTGACTCAATAAAGACAAAAGCCAGCTACCGCCTTCAACTGTCGGCACAGCTGCGGGAGGCTGGCTGTCCCAAAGCAGAAAGCTGGTGGGGAAAACTCATCGTCAATTTCTGAGCCGTAGCCAATTCACTTAGGCAGGTGAATGACAGTCATAGAGAATGACCCCTTGTCATGAAGTGGGAGGGAAGGAAAAGAGTGTGACAGTGAGCCAAACACATTTTGGTATAATTTTTTTTTCTTTTGTTTTCTTTCTTTCTTCCTTTTTTTTAAGTTAGTAAGCATGAGCGGAAAGGTAGACGAATACCCTTTTTTTCAATATACAGTTGTCAGATGTTTTATGCATGCAAATAAATCATGCTTTAGGCAGTGCAGTAGTTCTCCAAAATCAGCCAGCTCCACCATAACCAAATTCCTGTATGGATGGACTAGCCCCGGGGCTGCTAGCTATGTATGTGAGATGTTTCCTTGCAGACAAAATTCCATCGAAGAGAATAGGGGGTGGAGGGGAGGAGACAGATGTCGCAGCTGTACCATCTCTAAAAAGGTGTTTTTATGGTGAATGTTTTGGGTTTAGATTTTGGATCCCCGTCCCCCACCTCCCCCAAGCATGATAGCTTTGGAGATTTGCTTGCTGTGTGAATTGACAAGCACTTTTACTGACAAAATGGTGAGGCTCAGTCAGAACCTCCGTCCCCACACCAAAGACAGGGCAGTACAGTGTTCAAATCAGTATGGGGGGTGGGGCATAATTGTATACATGTCTATGAAAAAGCCCTAGGAGTGGAAGATTTTTTTCAAAATTATTTTTTGTCCCTATATATATTGATTTATATATTCCGTATAACTACCTTTTTATATATAACTATATATATACACATATATACCTATATATGTATATATATATATATGCACACACACATATCCCCTAGTTTTGATCATGAAGAGCCCTTCATGCATTCTTTGCAAAGGAGGTTATCAAGTGAGGCCCTCAGAAAATTTATAACTTTAAGAATGTGCCAGTTAAAGTGCTCGACAGGAAATAATGACAGTTGAAAAGCATTGTAAAACTCACATAGCTTACTTCTCTCTCTAAAGTGCAACAAGGATGAATAGAATGGGCCAAGGTATGACAATTAACGGTTCTGCATGACCTAGCCACTGCTGGCGGTTTTCTTCTCTAACGTTGTCCTTGTGAAAACTTTTGTGAAATTAAAAAAAAAAAGGAGTTACAAATTTTATTCTGTTATTGGTTTGTTTATTTTGATTTATATTGTTCTGTTTGTGGTTTTATTTATTTTTGTTTTGCTTTTTTTCTCCCCCTCCTCCCCATCTCCCTTTCTCTTCCCTTCCTTCTCCTTCCTCCACTTTCTAAATTGCTCAGCGCCATGAGGCTGTAACTGCTGCTACCGCTAGACAACTTAGAGTTTGTTTTGGTGTTCTTGGGTTTGGGGTTGGGTGATTTGGGGGGAACTTCTCTCCATCTGGCTTGCCTTTCAATCTGCACGTGGCCTCCCTGCCCACCTTGGTACCTTGCTCCAAGTCCACAAGCATTTTCCCATCAAGAAACCCAGCTTTCCTCCACTCCCCCCCCAACCCCGCCTCCCCATTACCACCACCCCAGCCCAGTCCCCCATCAGTCTGTCCACATCTCTGGGTTTACCTTGGCAAGACCTACTAAATCAAGTGATGATGCCAGGTGATAAACTTTTCTGGAAAACATTTGTAGCTATTCCATTCGGCAAACCCACTTCCTGGTTAATAGTTGATCTTCCTTTCGATTTAAGCCAGGAAGGTTATTAATCACAAAAAGCACTAGTCTCCTTTATGTTTGATCAGGACTAACCCCCCCCCCCAAAATTAAAACGGTTCAGCTGTATGTGTCAACTCAATAGCCCACCCTCAGTTATCGGCGGTGGGGGTGCTGATGATTCAGTCTTTATCTTACCCAGGTCTCTTCTGCCGCCTGCCTTTTCAGACATTTCTGAAATCCCAACCAGAGATTGGGCAGATAGAGATAAGTTGATCCCAAATGCGTTCTATATAAAATCTGTTAGCAGCTCTGATGAGATGATCCTTGTGATGGGAATGGAGTGAAAACAGACTGTGACTTGAGATGAAATTTGGGGATGTTCCCTGGACTTCAGGCACGCAATTGAGAGTTGATTGGTTAATGACATAGTCAATGATGGAAAAGGTGTCATTATTACTTCGATTTTTTTTGTGTGATCCCAAACTCCTATGTTACACTTTCCTCATGTGAATGAATAATCTCTTCCACTGTTTTCCTTGTGACCCCAAACTTCTCATTCCTCTTTCAGGTTCTCTTAGGAAGGAGGTATGCAAGGTTTCAAATTATGTCTCTCCTCTCCCCTCTCCCCACCTGAAGAAAAACAAGAACAAAAACAAAAGCCTGAGTAGGTCAGGGTGGAAAGTGAAAGAGTTATTTGACGAGAAAGTATGTGCACTTAAAAAGAACAACAGCTAGAAACTCAAGTATCTGCACCATTCTCACAGAGAAGCAATTTGTAAGCCATTCAATTTAATTTGTTTTAGGCTTTGAAAGGGGTGAAACTTAAGTAAGTGAGTAGACCAGGAGGCCCAGTGAAACCCTCAGCCTCAACACTCAGACAATCATGAAATCAACATCCCTAATAACTGCTATCCAGGGTCCTTCTGGAAGTCAGTCCAAAGGGATAAAGAAAAAGTCATACCATTATATTTAGATATCTACCACTATTAGGAGAGGTTTCAAATTCTGTTTGAGCATTAATAGAATTTATTATGTTATGACTCAGAATCTTATTTGCACTAGGTGCTCAATAATATTTTTGAAATCAGTTGACTTTAAACATTGTTATATACCTTTAATCATGTGATAAACTATCTTCCCCTCCTTGACTTATCTTTAAAAATTCAAGGAATGCCCTGTAGGTGCTTGACGATGCTGTCATGCTGTTGGCACTTTGTCGAGCTGAGTACACAGCTTCTGAGAAAGGAAAACAGCCCTGTTCGTTCAGTGAGTGGAGAGATTGTGCCTCCTGCCAGCATCGTCAACATCCCAGATGACCAGAAAAACCTTTTGACTGGCTCTTCTTCTTCAGCATGGGAAAAGCCGAAAGGTGTCTGTCCCAACAGAGACAATTAAATCAACCTACCAGGTTCCTGTAGCAACAAGCTCCTGAAGGAGAAAAAGGAGAGTGCAGAAACTTCAGGGCCCGCAGAAGTCAAGACAGGGTAAAAAACAAATCAGTGTCTCAATCAGCTTCTTTCAGCCCATCCCTGCTTTGTCATAATGTGATGAAGAGGTAGCTGTGGGCACCCATCACTAACCTGGGAGACGCTCTCCCGGCGGGAAGGTGTACATTCATCGCAAAGGGAGGTGAGAGCGGTTATCCCCTGCCATCTGAAAGGGAGGAGTGAAAAGTCCGCCCTCGGGGTACCAACTGGATTGAGGGCCACAGAAGAGGGCAGGCAGGGGGCAGGTGCTCTGCCAGGAGAATGGTAGCATCAGACTTACAGTTAAAAAGGGGCAAATGGAGTTGTATTAGACGATTGTAAAGAAGCAAGACAGTTTTTATAATGGTTCTGGTGCAATTTTCATTTCTATGACATAGCCATGGAGAGGGAAGGAGGCAGTGGTGGGGGGGGAGGGTCCACTGGGGCCTTGGAGTCTGCTGGGCAGAGGGCGAAGGCCAGACCAGCTCTCAGAAGTGTGAGATGTGAGAGGTAGCAGCGTTAGCTTTGAAGGCTTGGGCTCCTGGTTAGCTCCTCCTGTTCTTAACTGTTACCTCTATCCAGATGGAATCTTTTCCCTCCAAGCCCTCTCTCTCTAAACCTCAGCTTGTGGTGCAGGTCTCCCCTTTCATGCTTTCTTCTCTGGGGAGCAGTTAAGTGAGGAGGCTAAATCCCATGGCACTGGCAACCCACAGAGCCAGCAGAGGCTCTGTTTTCCCAGTCCAGCCTGCTGCTGTGCTTCTGGGTCCTCAGGCCCTCTGAGCCTGGAGGAGGGGCCTGGAGGAAGTCCTGACCCTCATTCTAGCCCCTTTAATTTCAGTGATGAAAGTAGCCATGGACAGTGCAGATGGCCTGCAGGTGGAGTAGGGCACCTGTCAAATTGAAAGCCACTATTTTAAAGAAAGAAGTCCCATTGAAGTGTGTCACTCCTTCCTCGCTTCACCTCCCTAAGGAAGGTTACCCAACCAAACCCTTCTCTGTCATCTGTGCTGCCACAGCCCCTGCTCTTCCGGCCAGCACCCTAGTTACACAATTCAGTTCTCCACACCCAGTTCATTTGCAATCACAGCAAAAGTTGTCACCTACCCTTAGGTTATCCTTTAGTACAGAGAGAACTCATGTTAATGCTAACCTTATACTAAAAGATAACAAACACCCAGTGCTTGCCCTGGGCCAGACACTCTTCTGAGCACTTTACATATATTAACTCGTTCAAGTTTCAGCATAACCTCAGATGTAGATGCTGTTAGCATTTTCCATTTGAAAGATGCAGAATCCAAAGGACAGATTTGTTCAAAGTCACCCAGCCAGGAAGTGACAGAGTGGAATTTAAAACTAAAGTCGATGAACTTTGCCACTATGCCATAATGCCCCCTAAAATTACTAATAATACTGATAATCTTAACAGCTCACATTGACTCCCCATGTATGTGAGTAAGTGCTTCATGGGCACCAGCCCCTTTCATCCAGACAACATTAGGAAGGTCCTGTCATTTGCCCTATTTTACAGAAGAGAAAGTGAAGCTAAGATAAATTATGCAACAGCCTGCTTAGAGCCATGCAGCCAGCATGTGAGAGAGCCAGATTCGTTGGCCCTTAGCCCACCACCCCATGCCATCTCCCTGGTCACAGTGGATAGTTCGTGGCAGGGCTGGTCTTGGTAGGTGACATCTCCCAGTGGCAGTGGCCCTTCTTTTGCCAGCATCTCCCCACAGTTATTTCCTGGGTTTTATCTTGTTCTACCAGCCCACCTGCCACAGCCTGTGAAATGCCACTCCTCCCCTAACCTCAGGCAGGTCACACATTCACTCATGGTGATGACATCATGCATCACCTCTTCAAGAAGCTTATTAACAAGTGGACTTATTTTTCTTTGGCAGTGAGGATGCTTTCAAAGCTGGATCTATTGCCCTTCTCATCTTAGGGATGAAAACAAAGCCCCCAGAAATCTTTCTGGCTCATGGGATGAGGCAGGGAGCAGAGATCAACTTAGGGATTTGGCTCTACCCTGGACCACTTCAGCACTCATGTGACTTCTTTCCTTGAGTATTCTTCCTTATGGCCAATTTTGTGGGTACCCAGTAGGGCAATTCCTTCTTTGGAAGGCAAGATTTGATAAACCAAAGTGTCGCTGTCATAGCAAAGCTCTCTCCATTGGCGCAGAATGACTGGCACTCATTAAAGTGTGGTTCCTTTGAAGCCCTTCGGGAGAAACTCTTCATAAAATACCTTTGCCCCCAGTTTAGTAAAATGCTCAAGAGCATGCATATATTTCCACTTCTTCAATAGCCTGTGTAACCAAATCTCCAACAACACGTAGATGTATATCTTGCCAGGCACCTGAATTAAAAAGCCTGTTTCTTGGACATAATGAAAACTTCAAGTCATCAGCAGGCTACGTGTTAATACAGCTCCTTCTTGTGTTGAAGCTGAACAGCCAAACACAGGGACGACTCTGCTTAGAGAAAGAAGCTTAAATGGGGAAATAATGCTCTCTTTCTTACAGACAGCAGAAGGAAATTGATATTCTCTCTGCTGTGAAAGGTCAAAATGCCAACTTTGAATTGAACTGTAAAGACTAAATTCTGAACAATTATTCTCGCAGCAGTTGTAAAAATTACAGCAAATTGCAGCTGTCTTAGGTCTTTCACCCAAAAGACCTCCTCATTGCCATCAGCAGAGTTCACTCTCCCTTCCAACCTGGCGTGTCCAGCCTAGCACTAAATCCCTTTGCAAAATCTGTCCACCGAACGGCACGGCCAAAACCAAGGGCAGCTCAGGCAAACAGCACAGACACTGGGCTCAGCCCTTCTGAAAATCATCTTTACACATAAACCATTGGGAAAAGTCATAGTTTGAAATTGTTTCGGTGGCCTGGCAATGCTTTTAAAACATGATAACCATCACACTTTACTTCTCTCTGAAAGGTTAGCTTAATCGTAGATCACAAAAAAAAATTGGTTTCCACAAATGCATAATGGTTCATCT